CATCCATTCACTATGTCACTAATTTACACATTAAAAGAGCATAAAGCAAAGCATGTGCTTAAATGGTAAGAGGAATGAACACTAAATGGAATGCAACTGCTCCTTCAAAAGTTGGGGGTTATTCTATGGAAAGGTCAAACCCCAACAATATTGAAAGGAGACTATGCCATATAGCAAAAACCTCATGATTTTCCTTAAGGAATTTATCCTCATCTCAAAACTAAAAAGTTCCCAGATGTTAATTTAAAAATTACAGATGAAACTTGATGGAAATCAGGATAAATATTTCAGTTATTTCCTACTTGGACAGTAAGAGCATAGGCTTTAGTTCAGAAAAAATACATAATTTGCTGTAAGTGCACAAAAGCCCAATCCTGTAACTCTTTCTTGTTGATTCAATTGTTTTCACTTAAGGAAAATATATAGAATTTCCCTCTCACTCCTGATTTAATCACTTATGTAAAAACTGTTGGAAGAATATGAATGTTTAAGAGTTTATCCATATACTGGATCTAAAGGGTATATGGGAATGTCTATCCTGCTTTTCAAAGGAAATACTACTTTTTAGGTGTTGCAATAGTTTCTTTCCTTCAAAACAAAGCTTTTTGAGCTCATGTTAATAAACAGTAATTTAATTTCCAGTTCTCAACATTTAAATGCTTGGCTCATTCTTTGAAAACAGAATTTGTACATTCACTGAGAAATACACAGGGCAAGTCTCTACTCAAGGGCAGGTATCCAATATGGCTTGGCTTGGAAGAGCAGCTGTGCTGTAGGGTTCTCATTCACAGCCTTGGAGCGCTTTCTGTAACAAACTTCCTTAGATCACTGCAGTTCTCTAATGAATTTTCCCTCCTCTGAACTCACTCTGAGCTCAGCTGGTAAAACTAAATACTTTCCACCACAGGTTTTGTAGGCATTGCTAAAGGTTCTGCAGGCCAAAGTGGGCTGACTGTTTTCCAGCAGTGTGACAGTAACAACCTAAAGAAAGTTTTCACACATGTTGTACGGCATTAATGGCCTGCAAAACTTACTTAGTGATGAGGATTGAGACAGTAAGACTTTAGTTCTGCAGTTTGTCTAACATTCATGTTAAAGAGCAACCATGCTGGGGATGGGGGACAACAGCACACCAAGAAAGACAGACCATGTACATAGAGGCTTGCAGTGTCATTGGG